TCACCATTGCTTTAGGAGAAATCACTTTATGCCCCAAGGGATAGGAGTGGTCCTTACAGTACAATCAGAAAAGCATTGCCTTGGACCACTAATAGCTATTAGTCACACTGCAAAAATACCCATGTTAGGTGGTTTGGTCCAAAGATAAAAAAACATACTCAAAGTCAGGAAGGCAGACAAAAATGTCATAAAATATATTGAAGAAAATCTGTAGTGTTTACAGAGTGATTCATGGCAGATATGTTGAAGAGTCAATTTAGTATTGTTATTCAACAGTTAATTTTATAAATTCCCCTCACAAACAGAAGAGAAATATCTGCTCACACTAGCAGGACTGGTCAGGGCCAAGGTAACTATGAGACCAATAGAAAAGCATGGACACTTCTGCAGCTGCTTCAGTGGCAGCTGGACCCAAAAGTCAGTGATAAGACAAAGTCAGGACAGTCTGAACCCAGTGATATTCATGAGAGATTTGTGGCATTTATCTGGCTTTCAGAAGCACCATGGAAACACCTGACTGTTGTACTGTTTTTTCAGAGCTACTGAGAAGTCTGATATTATTGTCAAGAGGCAACTGTTGTAGAGAAAAGGTAAATTCTCAAAGACATGTTGTAGGAGTGTGATTCTCAAATATTTCATATTTCTGAAGCTCTAGTTATATACAAAAGGTTTTTTTAAGGACACTCCAAAATTTTTTAAACAACATGGAGATTTTCTGTAATATATTTGTTGTACAGTTACATTGACTACTAGGATTTCTTTTAAAAAAGGTTCAGGATGTCTTATTTCAATGACCTTCTCTCTGTTTTATCATTTACTTTGTTTTGTTTTACTGCCTATGCCTTTTTTTTGGTCATATTTCCCATGCTTTTATTTCTACATTTAGTGTCTCTTACTCTTGGTCTTTCAGTATCCTGACACTTTAGGTTTTGGTTTATCATCTGGTTTTGGTTAGGTCTGTATTTTCAGCCCTTTTCCAGTCCCCAGCATCCTTTCATTTTGTTGCTCATCTGCTTGCTCTATTAAACCTTTTCTTTTTCATCAGCAATTTCTTCCTTTTGTTGTGCCACTGCATAATGAGCTCACAAGTTTAACCTCATGGATGACATCCCTCAAGATATACCCAATAAAGGAGTACATTTAGTTGCAACCATGTGAGATGCACACCAGTGGGATGGCAGAGGGGCAGAATTCCCCGAGCTGTACATCAGGACCAGGATGGACGACTCTTTGAACAAACTGGTCTAGTGGGATGTGTCCCTGCTCCTGGCAGGGATATTGGATGTAAGGGACCCTTAAGGTCCCTTACAGCCCAAACCATTCAATGATTCTATGATTCTATGATTTTCCAAAGCCCTGACTAAAAAGAAGTCTGGGAAAAGGATGAGTCAGGCACAAAGTAAGTAACGTTGTGGTTTTTTCGTGTTCAATCACGAACAGGATTGAACTGGTGAAGCAATTACTTTTTCTCTCTAGACAGAAATAAAAGGGCAGCTGTTTCTCAGGCTGGAAGTGGCAGCTCTGCTGTGAAGTGATGCAGCTTATGCTACTGTTGTTGCTGGCTACTTGGTGCTCCCAAGAAAAATGGAAGCTCTTCAGGCTGAGGCAGTAAAGCAGAATGTTCCCTTAGACTCTTGGGGAGATGGTAACAGTGGGCTGTTAAACAAAGGGCTGTAAATGATATAGAGGATTGTTACTAAAGCAACTAAAACATTTCCTCCTGAAAACTTAAATCCCTTCCTTGGCAATCTTTCCATACAGGCACTTTCTCTGAAGCACAGCCTTTGCCCATGTGCACAGGGTTTCCTGAGTATGACACAATAGTTGCCTCCTTAGGCCAAATGGTACCCATAAATATTGCTTATAAATAAAAAAAGAAAACCCCCTTGCTACAGTATTAGAATAGTAAAGTAAAAAGCAGACCTATATTTGGAAGCTTCCAGGTGTCCCAGTGGTGATGGGCACACCTGTCTGGATTTCTGCAATTTTTATAAAGTTAATTAATTAGGAAATCTAGCGAGTAGATCCAATAGAAGATTCAGTTGCCCCAGTAACCCAGCCCTGGATCACAACCCCTTGGAGCTGGTCCTAGGGCTTCTTTGCCCCACTTCAAGTTAGGACTTCTCAGATTCTGGTTGGAAAACAAAATGTTCTTCTTATAGACCCTCTTCCTGAAAATGAGACTAAACAGTATTTCAGGAATGTATTACAAGCTTAGCTTATTGTTTTAATATCTAGGGTAAAGGGTAGGAAAAGTACTGGAACTACAGCCATGCATTAGCTATCTAAAAAGCTACAAATATATGAAAAACATCTAAAAAGCTTAAGGATCATAAGCTTCTTGCTTCAAAGAGAATTCCACCTACAAGAAGTGCAAATAATTGGTTAATGTAAGTTGCTCAAAATCCTTTGGTACATTCATCTGTCCAACTTCCACAGCTTTGCTGAAGTTTTCTCATGCCCATTAACCAGAGACTAGACTTCTGTTTACTTTCACCTAGAGTTTTATGTGCATTTGTGAGCTGCATGAGGTGATTCTAATTTCAAGTTTGCAAAGTGAAATAGTAAAAGTTCATTTTCTAAAGTGTCTTTCTTTTCATTTGTTTACATGGCTTGTTATTTATTATGCTTTTGCTACAGTTCCAACCTAGGAAGGAAAAATGCAGTGTTTACTGGTTTACTTCAAGAGTGTATTCTGGTAATTAAATATTACACTTTGCAACCTCTGTATTGCTTAAGGAAATAAGAACTAACATAGATTCTTATTATAAACCACCTGTTGTTCATTACCAATGTGGTTTTCAGACAGGTGCCAAGCAGGATTTCTTTCTATGGTAAAAGTCCTTGCAAGGACAAGTTGTGTACATTTTTAGCACAGAAAAAAAGGTTTTTATCAAAATTTCCCTGAAGAATTTTTTAATCAATGTCCTTGATACTTTTTTGCAGGGAAAACACTTTCTTCACTGCAACATTAGGAAAATAGAAAGGAATAAACATAAAAGTGACTCTGTACACCCCTTCCACTTGATATCTTTCCGGATCACTTTACAACTTTCCATTTTTCCATCTCTTCAGCTGCTTATTTGTATGCTGTAGGGACACCACAGTCCTGATGCTTCACTAGATAATGACTGTCTGTACCTGTGCTGCCAGCCTCTGGTGTCTGGGAACAAGCAGCATTGGAGATGAGAGCTATGGAGGAACAAGAGCTGCTCATCCTGTTGAACAGTTTTGCACTTCAAAATATATTGTCTGTCCAAAGAGGAAGAAGTGAGGAATATGTGAAATTTTCTATCCAAGTAATATTTCAAGAACTTCTTTTGGTTACTTATGAAAACACCAAACTCCTCTTCCTTCAAGCAAGCCATGTGTAGTTACTAAAATATTTTGCAGTATTTATGTAGAGTACTTGCCTTTTATGCAGAGAATGAGCTAATTCTCTCACTTGGAATGTGTGAACAATATGCTGGAGGAGAGTCAATGCTGCAGCAGCAGTATAACAGATTTTCAACCTAGAAAACAGGCTGCAGAAAAGTAGCCCATTTTCATAAAACTTGTTCCTAAAATTGAATTTCTGACATCCATTCTAAGAGAAAAAATATTGACCTATCACAACATGGTTCCTTTCCTGGATGGGAGATGAAAGCCATGCCTACATATGTTGGCAATGACACTCCCAGTGTTCTGTAAGTGATCTGTGAAATGCAAATAGTTTTCCTGAGAACTCTTTACTATATGAAGAACCTTGTAAACACCTCTTCAAGCAGAGTATATGTTCAAGGATATCCTTCTCAAGGATTTTTTTTGATATCTAGGTAGTAAGATAAATCATGACTGCCCATATCACAAAATCTGCAATTGCATCTGCCCAATTTAACAACCATGTTTTTGTAGTTAATTCATGAGATGGGTAAAAAATTATCTATTCACCCATCAAGGTTCATTTTCCATGCAGTGCTACAGTGTAGCAGAGGTAACCTTGCTTTTTATTTTGTAACTTGTGTTTTGATTCTTTGACTGACTGATTAAATAATTACATATAATTTGCTGAATACAATGGATAATTTGGAAATCTTGGAAACTCATTACCACCATTTTAAAAAGCTGTGATTTTAGTTATATATTTGAACACAATATCTTTGTTTAGAAGAACGATTCTCAGGCTTCTTGAAATCTACCACACTCTCTTGTGCAAATTAATCCCTGTAGTATTTACACTATCTAATTGTTGTCAACCTAGAAAGAAACAGCATAAACTTTTACATATTAAAAAGTGGGGTAAAAAATAAAATCTGAATTGTAGTGTGAAACTTTTTCCAGCTAGCTGCAGTAGGTTTTTGATTGGATATTGAATACACAGAAAAATATACTTTTTTATTATTTGGCTATTAAAGGAGTTTTTTGTGGAACTACATTAAAAATTAGGGATGCATCTGTACCTTCTGCAGTCATAATCTAGTTCAGCATGGAGACCTAAAGTATTCTAAGTTAATGTTAGATCATGGACATGCTAAGGCTTAACTTAGACACTTGTCTTGAAGCAGATTTTCAACAACATCTTAGCTAGTAAATTTAGTCCTAGTCTGGGTACTATCAGACTGTGCAAACACAAGTGACTGTATTAACAGAATCAGACATCAGCACAACAGTGTCAATTTATTCACATTTGGAAGTCCACCAGGATCTAAAATATATCTGCTTCTTGAAAATATATGTTGACTCACCATCTCTAAGACATTCCAAATAAGTCGAGTAGCACCTTACTTAAACAATTTAAACTGCCTCAAGTTGCTGTTTTCAAGAGCTTCCTTCTTCCTGTTCCATCTTCACATTTGAAAAAAAAGTTGAATGTTGGATTGTGTTTTTAAGGTGCTGGGTTTTTTTCTTTGTTTGTTTGTTTTTAATAATATTTTAAATTAAATTACTCAATACTTGGAAGATATTAACCCTCTGCTTAATGTAATGGGAACTATTTTTCTTCCAGGTCTCATCAGTCCCAGAGTTTGGCCGCATAGTAATTTATACCACCAGTCTTCGTGTGGTGAGAACCACTTTTGAAAGATGCGAACTGGTTAGAAAGATATTTCAAAATCACAGAGTTAAGTTTGAAGAAAAAAACATTGCTCTGAACAGTGATTATGGAAAAGAGCTAGATGAAAGATGCAGAAGTGTCTGTGAAGTTCCCTCACTCCCTGTTGTGTTTATTGATGGCCATTATCTCGGGGTAAGTAAAGCATGAACCTCTGTTTTACCTTACAGTTGGGAAGAACAGATGAAAATTTTGAGGAATGAGAAGCAGGATTTTTAGAAAATTGCCTACAATGCTGCAGTGATGGCAACAAGCTAAGACAGAAATCCTTCTGTAGTAAGCACTGCAGAGATCCTTGCTGATAAGTTTGATCTGAAGATGCAAAAGATAACCAAGGCGAGACTACCAGGAGGGGAATAAGAGGCAATAATACATCTGAGATGCTATCTGCTTCTTAAAAAATATCTTATTTTGTGGTTGAAACCATGAAAATCTAGAGAAGTTGTTTTTTCTCCTTGTGAGATTGACCCAGAAAGATGAACACAAAGAGCATAAACCTGTCATTTAGTAATATCTGTGTTGAATTAGAGACCAACACTTTGGGTTGTCAGACTTCAAATATACATTTAGTTTTATATGATGTAGTCTGTATCAGGATCTGTAATCAACTGAACATATTTTAGATACAAAATTGGTTAATACTTACTTTTTAAAAAACCTAGCTGTAGAAAAGGGAGAGGAAGAGTCCAACTCTGCCCTACTGTAAAACATAAACTCCAAATGGAAAACTAAAATCCTCATTTCTACACTAGTATTCTAGGTCTAAAAGCCTACTGACATTCAAAATTACTTTTTCATTGAACCTATACTTTTGAAATGTATTTCTCATAGACAGAAAAAAAAAATCAAAAGAAAAAGATTCTGGAAAGTGGCACAAAGAAAACAGTTTGAAAACCTGGAGAAGGTATTTGTCTTGAGTGGTGAAAGGCTAGTAATTAGTACTGACTGCGAGACTGTGATTTGTGAAGGCAAACTGTATTTAAACACAGGGAGGTTACTGTGTTTCCATCACTTAAAGCTTTCATTTCCACAAAACATTTAAGTAACAAAATGCAGTGTAACCAACAAACAGGGATAATAAATATTGGGCCTATATGAACACTTTATCCTCTTTTCCCCCATCCCTTCCAAGCTTTCCATGTGTTCTGCATGTGTTAGGCTTACCTGAGCATTATAACAAATGCATTTGCTGTCATAGACCTTGCCAGACCTCTAGAGCAGCTGTAAAACCACCTGTGTGCAGAATATTAGCAGAATACTACTTCATTGTAGAATATGCTTTTATCAAATCTCTGATTTGGAGAGTTCTCCAGCAGCCAGGAGCAAAAGTGTTACATTCAGGAGAAGTTTAAAATTCAACAGGATTCAGAGGAAGATTTGCTCATCTAATCATTATGTTAAAAGTGCAACTAGTGAGTTATGATTGACTCCAGGAAAATCTCAGTCCATGTATGACCAATTTGTCAAAAGAATTCAGATAAGATACTGAAATTGATTAAATAAATTATTTGCTTAACTATAGGAAATGCCTGGATACAGTCATTTTGGTATGATAGATGACCCATTAAGTTTTGTGGTTTTTTTTGCTTTTTTTTTAAAAGATTGCGAAAAACTTGCCTTCTAAAAGAGGACTGTCAGTGTGAAAAACAGTAAAATCTCATTAAAACTCTTTAAGTACTGTATGAGACTCTTTGGAGAGGTGTAGAAAAGAAGGCAAGTGAATTAGGAAGATAGCTTTCTATGGAAGAGACAAATCTACCTCCTATAGGTAAAAAAAAATGAAATAATTTGGTCTTGTTGGTAACTGTGGCTATATCTATAATATGTTTTATAATAATTAACTTCTGAAATTCAAATGAAACAAAGAAATCCCGAAGCCTGGTGTGTCAGTAAATAAATCATGCAATACTTTCCTCTTTTTTCTTTTTTTTTTTTTAATATTTATTTCCTGAAAAATCCCTCCCTGAAGGAGATGTCATGTAGCAGTACAAGGGAGAATCTCTATTGAGCTATGCAGCTTTCAGTGAGTAATAAGGAGAAAAAAACCCAGCCGTGAAATAAAATATGAACAGTTTTGAAAGGTGGAAGATTATTCTTAATGAGATAAAAGTAACAAGAGCACCAAAACCCAGTGTATGTACATCTGATAGAGTATATTGTGCCCAAGTTATTCAGAAGCATGGACAAAGCTTCTCAAACTCAAAGTTGCTTGAGCACTGCAGGCTGTGGGGATAAATATTCACAGTGCTGTGAAATTTATCATTGTCTGCACAGGGACAATGAAACAAATCCATGACTTGGGCAGTAGAAATAAAAAAATCATATTTAGCCCCTGTCAAGGAAAGTACTGCATGCTGCAGTACAGCAGGGCTTTTAATCTCATTTTTTTCAGGACTGAATCATTGTATTTCTTGACACATACTTTCTAAATATCAGTCTGTCAGGAAATTGCTGTTTCTTTCTGCTGCATGTTCTTTACTGGGTGATCTAATCCCTTCTTTTCACCTGAGGTTGTCTTCATCTGAAATGGAATTATGCCATCTGGTGGGATACCAATGCAGAATAAAAAATTACTTACAGAAATTGAAAACCACACATAAAAAAATGATGGAGCATTCATTTACTGTTATAAAGGCATTCAGAATTGTTAACGGTTTATGTTATGCAAAGATCCACTCTCCTGGAAAAGAGATGCAAATAAAACAGAAAAATTGATTCATTCTTTGTAAATAGGTTTACTCACAGCATAATATTCTAAAAACACATGTATTTTCTTTTTCTACTTGAAATATATGATTGAATTTCAGAGTTCACTTGCCATACAAACCTCCTTGACTTTTTTCAAATATATGAATTTAAGACATTTTTTCTGAAGAAAATACCACCTGTTTAGTTTTCCCAGCTATAACGAATCCAAACCAGCATGAGATTAATAGTAAAATTATATTACACATTGGTTATTGTCTTCTCCAGAGTGATGAGACTGTTTTTGTAAGTGACTTTTAGAAAATACATGTGTAAAATATTTTTTTTTGTGAAAAAGGAATTGACAGTTTCCTTTTATCTGATTTCCAGTGGCCATATATATTTAGTAGGTCTCTACAGCCTCTGTGTTTCGTTAAATGCATTCTTCTGGTATTCACTTGCTGGGAGGATATGAGTGGCTCTGTGACAGTAAAACTATTATGTAATTATTGCATTCAGTCACCTGGCCTTTTCCCACCTGTTTCCTCCATTTTGCAGTTTAAGGTGTCAGGAAATGCAGGGATCAATTTTTACACATCAAACCTTTGACACATCAACCTTTCCCATTCTTTGCCCACCAAATCCAGAGTTTCTGGTGCTGGTGCTACACTGCAGCACCTATTTTCTCTGTTTGTGGGCCGATTTCCAGGCAGCTGTTGGTACCCTCTGTGTACCTGCTGCCAAGGGGCCCCTGGCTGTGAGTGGTGTGGTGGGACCTTGCTGATGTGCTTAGCGAAATAGGAAATAGAGCACGGAATTTATCTGTGCTGCAAATGTGTCCACAAGAGGGATGTGGCAGGGACTTGATAATTCTTCTCAGTATATAAGGAATGATGTGGAAGAGTGGCTGCTTCCCAAAAGCCACAGGTATTCTAGTCAAGCCAAATGCAGAACCATATATCTGTGTTTATTCCTTGATGAAATGACATCCTAGAAATGGTAATGGTTTATATTCGAGATAGGTAGCAACAGACAGGTTTATTGACAGGATAAAGGTGGGGCAGTAGAAAACTTAGTGGACCTTGTCCTAGTTCTGCAGTTAATGGGAATTATATATGAGAATTTAATCATTCAAGATTAATCAATATTATTTATAATAATGATAATTCAATCAAGATTAGGTCAATTACTGCATGTTCTCAAGGGATAATTGGGAAGATAATTTTATTAACTAAAATGGTCTGGAAAAGTTGTTGAATGATTTAGCCAAGTCTGTTGCATTTTCTTGCCAAAAGAAGGGCAAATACCTGACTGCAACCTCTGTACTCCTCCAGCACAGTAGAGATTCAGCAGAGTTAGTAGATAAAGGAATTACAGGCTTCTGCCTTGAACTTTTACTGGGTAACAGAACTGAAAACTCAATTTTCCCTGCTGATTCTCTAAAGATTATGCCCACTGTCCCTCATGCTCCTTTTGTTAGTCTCTGTAGGGACAGACTATTTAAGGTTTCACGTACCTTTCTGACTGTGGACTGAGCACAGCCTAGGAAGAAAAAGAACAGCATCACTTTCTGGTCAGAAAGCAGCCATTGATGTACTAGGCAAAAAGACTTTCTACAGAGAAAATAACCTTAGTGGGGTGTCATAAATGGACCTTTGAAAGGTTTGGTTGCCTCAGCTTAGATTTTGGGCTACACACTTGTAGTCTCAGTAGTCCCCAGCAAGGTTCTGTGAGTGGTTGGACACTTTGAGGTGTATTAGAGGCACACGTGTTCCCTGTGCTCAGCAGCAGCTTTTCCTGTACCTCCCAGAATCCGGGGGAGGTGCTGGTCAGGAGCTGGGGCAGCTCAAACAATGGCACATCTGAGACGTGTGCCAGCGTCCCACTGCGCCTCAGCCCTGTGCCAGTGTACCACCAAGCTTCTAGTTAATGCTGGGAGCAAACTCAAAGTCAAAATTTAGCAATCTGGAGATGCAGGGACCAGCAAACTGGGGCAGCACAATGGCATGAACTCACCATGTGGTGGTGATGAGGCCAATTTTCCCTGGCAGCAAGTAAGCCCTGTGTATCTGTACCTCGGTTTCCTCACCTTTTGTTGGTTTCTGATTGAAAGTCTCTGCAAGTGTTTCACCATGTTTAGTTTTCAACAAATTTGGTGACATAAGTGAAGTATTCAAATGTGGCTGTGCAATTAGAAGAGAGGGGAACAAAAAGTTCTGTGTTCTCCCTGTCACTTAATTTTGTCTGCAGGTCTCTTGCCATGCACTTCCAGGAGGAAAAATATCCCCAACACTTCAGGGGAGCCTTGGTTCAGGACACAGAAACCCAAAGAGTAGTCAGACTAAGTTATTATTACTTATTGTTTAGAGTATTTTCATTACTCTTTTTCTCCTTGTGTTATACATTAGGCACATTATGCCTTAATTCAATGCTCAGCTGCCAGAATATTTGAAATACAATCTCCTCTTCTCATTTTACTGCATTCTCTGATGGATTGTATATTTATATAATTGCAATTTTTTGACATGATAACTAGAAATATTCTGTCTGGAAACATACTCTGTAAAATAAAGGGAACACAATCAGAATTTCTAAGCTGTGTCACATTTTACAGAAAAGGCAATGTGATATGTCACCTGTTAATGAACTTCAGGCATTACTACCAGACCTGTGATTAGATTCTCCTCTCCTTCTAGCTTTACTAAGGGTGACCTAATTGCAATATAGTTAATGTGAGTCAAATTTGTCCTCAGCCTGTTTAAAATTTCAATACCAAATCTTCTAATTATCTCTGGGGTTTTTTATGAAAAAATGGCTGACATTTTTCATCTTTTTCCTAATAGGGTGCTGAGAAAATTTTACTAATGAATGAATCTGGGGAACTGCAGGATCTCTTAACCAAAATTGAGGTAATTCTATTTCTGAAAATAAATAGATGAATATACATTTGCTACTTGTAATCAAGTAGATTTTCTTTACAATTTCCCTTTTTTCTGCTATAAACTGATGATCCCAAATGTTTTTTTTTTGATTTGCTATTTTTACACCCTGTTTTCGGGTGGGGGCCCTATAATGTTGAGTGTGTCCTAATCTTGGGATAAAAAGTACTTATATAAGACAGATAGTGTCAGACTACAGGATATTGGTAATGGCTCACTGAATACAATCACTACTTCACTGCCTTTTGGTGGTTTTCTTTGTGTGTTTGGTTCATTTGTTTTTCTCTTTCTCTCTTTTATTTTTTTTTCTCAAAAATGAATTTGCTACAACTGCAAGAGGTAGCCAGGTTTCTTCATTACTGGAGATGCAGAAAGTGGTTCCACAAACTGTCTTCTGTTCAAGGAGGCAATGGCCATTGTTTAAGAAATTGAGCTAAAGCAATTTTGCTTTATTTTCTTGCCTTAATTAGTTATTTTAACTACATCTGAAGGTATCTCTATATTTCCAAGTGTAACAAACAAAAATTAATGTAAAGATTAAAAATATTATTCTCTTAAAATTTTAAGATTATTTGCAATAGTGTTCAATGAAGTAAACAATGATCAAAAATTACGAAAGACGGGAGCACACCTGAAATAAAAATAAATGTTGATTTTACATTAAATATTTCCAATTGTTGTCCCTGGATAAGCTGATAGTAATAGGAGCTGTTTGACTTGTGAAGAAGAACAGTAAGTTTATGAGCTACAGAACAAAGAGAAAAGAATGTCTTGTTTACATATTCATCTGAGTTTTCAATAGATAAATGTTATTATTAGTGGGTTTGCAGAAATATTTTCATTTTTCTTGGTGGTGCTCCAGGTTCTACATTCTCTGGGTTTTTTATTATACTCTGGTAATAATTTGTCACTAATTTTTAGTAGTACAAAATTCATCAGAATAACACTAGCAGGAATTGTATGGACTTTTGTTCTTTCTTTGTGGATAAACCTACAAAGTTCTTACTCAGCAGGGCAATGCTAAAACACACGGTGGTAAGTACCTAAAATGGCTTACCTTTCCTTTCTCTGATTTGAACTTTAAGGCAATCATTAAATAAACTAGACACATTTTCAGCAAGTGAAACTTAAGAATGTCTTTGGAAACTCTTCTTCTATGCTCCACTGTCTTAATCCAATAAAAAATGGAGTAAATTTATTGTTTTGCTTGGGCATTGGGACAATTGAGAGGCCTCAAGCCTTCCTTGAAGCAATTTTCTCTGGGTATAACTGCTGAACATTGATGATCCTTCTTCTTTATGCTTAAAGCTTCAGCACTCTACACCCATAAATTTGAATGCACCGCTTCCTTGAGTACTGCTTGTCAGAAGCTATGAATTGTTTTTGGATATCATCGGCTTTAACTGTAATAGGTATAATATGCTCAGTATGAACATGCAAATGCTGAAAGTCATAATATATTAATATACAGCATAGAAAACATAACATCAGCATAAACTGCCTGGAGTTTGGATTCAATCATCACAGTACCTCCTAGATTTAATCTAACTAAACAACATCCAAGTAATGCATGCAAGTTATCCTTTAGCTTGCTATTTTGGCAAATATAAATGAGGCAGGATCCTGAGGTAAAAAGTGACCAATGGACCTGCAGTGAGCCTCTCTGACATTGCATGTGGATGTGACCAAAGGAAAAGACAGACTTACTGCTCTTCCACGGTGGTTTGCCATGGGATGGGGTGGTGGGTCTTGCCCAAAATGGGAACTGGGATATTTTTAGCTGTCCTGGAGTCCTCATTGTCCTAGACCTTGTGGTGGTTGATGAGGTAACATTTTTGTCTTTCTTTCTTTCTTTGAGCAGAGAGTCCAGCTTCCTCAAGAGTGCCTCTCTTGTGGAGGCTTTGGTTTCCTGCCGTGCTCAGCGTGCCATGGGAGCAAGATGTCCGTGTTCCGGAACTGCTTTACGGACTCGTTCAAAGCCCTCAAGTGTACTGCTTGCAATGAGAATGGGCTCCAGCGCTGCAGGAGCTGTGCAGGCTAAAAATGGCATCTCCATGTGTTCAAATTAATTTTATGGTACTGCACCAGTTTGTAATATGATTTTTTTTTTTTTTTTAAAGTTAATCCATTTATCCAAAACAGTCAATAAAAGTCCATTTGTTGTATACTTCTGGTTTCAGCATTTGAGCTTTTTAATCTTTGGTTGTCGACCATATAATGGACTCTAAAATACATCTTTCTAGTTTCCTTATAGACAGCTTTGTGGACTGTAAAACTAATCACATTATGTGAATTCTTCCTTTTTCTATATGTGATCATCAGCAATCACATGTGTTTTTGAGTAATGCACTCAAAATTGCAGCAAAATTAAGTTTAAACTTCAGATTATTGAGTAGTGCTGGTTTCAAAATCACTAGGAATAATGATTTCATGATGTGGACTAGCCCAAGACTGTTCCACATAGCATCCCTGAAAAGTCACTAGGGCTGAATTCTGTCCTGAATTCTATGCGGCAACAGAAGAACGGAAACATTTCTTGAAAGTCCCATGAATCAGCTTTTTCTTTTAGTACTGCTTTCTCTTTGTTACAAAATGAATGTTAGACAAAGTTACAGTTCAAACATTTAACATAGGAGATGTTAATAACCATGGTAGTATACCAGAGCTTTATGATTCCATATATCACAGTAGATCTCAGAATGATTCAGTGAGAACACCTGCCAGCTTTATGAATTGCATATAAATTAATTGAGGATGAGATTTCAGGTTTTTCAGCTTAGTAATTATTGAAGTTTGACGACTAGTCTGGCATGATTGTTTCAGGGCATCTGTTCCCCAGAGAAGCCCAGGTTTATGCCCAGACAACTCCAGTACTGTATATACCTTTGCCAGTTTTGGGTTGGGTTTCCCCAACACAAGCACAAGAGAATTAGCAGCAATTAGTCTCAATGGACTGTGGGCTCTCCACACGGAATACATTCCAGTTTGGAAGTGCATTGCCATTCATCCACTTCCACAGAATAATTTTTAACAGGGTAACTTTAGTGAGCCATCACCCACTGCTCATTTTGACATTGCCATCTGCCTCATGTTCGTGCTGTCAGTCTGTACTCGCACAAGTGGCACAAAGGTAATAGAAAGCACCTTGCTGAAAATGGTGTTGGCTAGAAAAGTCTCCCCTGGGCTAATGCCCAAACTGCATTAGCAATTGTTGACACATGTCATTTATGCTTCTTGTCTCATTCTTTGTGAAATTATTCTGACTGGGGTTTAGGTAAGTGCAGTTTGCTTTACTAGATGTTGCTTACTTTGGTTGGGTACTCCATTTCCCTTCCCTCCTTCCCATATAACCTTCCTTAATTTCTCTGTGACGAAAAACTCAGTTAATCTTTCAGTGTTTTGGGCACAGCACAGCTGTGTTATAAGCCAGGATAGCTGCAGCTGCACAAAACATGGCTTGCAAAAAAACCCTCTCTGAAATCCTTTGTTTTGATGATGCCTTATTTTCCTCACCCTTATCAAGATGACCATGTTTCCTCCACCCCCCTTCTGCTTGCTATGTCTAGAGGTGGTAGCTGGTGCTGGAGAGTTGGACAAGTTGAGCTTACTTATCTCTTTCAACATTTGAATCTAAGGGACTTATGCATATTCTATTACATATTGAATGTGCAGGCTTGAAAGTGTTTGTACAATCCCACTGCTCCTACGGATTCTACCTTAAGGCTCAGAGGAAGCATCTGGATTTTCGGCATAACATGAAAGAGATTAAATTTTATACAAAAGCCATCCATAATGCTTAGCAGCACCCCAGCTATAAAACTCTGAATTGCAGATGTGCTTTTTTACTGCATGGGTAAGAAGAAAAGAAAGAAAATAAATTACCCTTCTTTTATTTAATAATCATGTGCCTTCTATTTATGGCTAGTATTGCAGTCCAGACTGGTATGATAGAGAATGAAAGGCAGCATCAAGCAGAATAGTGATGATAAGAAATTCATCATTTCTGATGCATGAAAACAAACTTTTTTAGTTTTTAACTTGCTATGGATCTAGAGAGGGAGAACATTCACAGTAGTGAATACTGAACTCAGGATGGCATACTTAAATTCATCATTGAGGGAAATTACTAGTGAAGAAAATGCCAGAGAATTTGTGACACCGTAGTTCCAGAGTCTTCACCCCTAACAAGACATATTGCTTGATGAGGTGGTTTGTATCACCATTCACCCACTGAAGTACCAAATGACCAAATTACTGTGGCTTGACAATGTTAAACATTTTCAGTTTCATTGAAAACAAAATTTCTCCACTGACCTGCAGAAGCTGGTTTTCTTGCCATTCAGGCAATCAGAAAATGACTTCTCTTCAGAGTGAAACAAGTGCACTTAATCCTGTTTCTTTCCTCATTTATCTCCAGGGGCTGTGAAAGAAATCTAAAGAGACTTTCCTAGCCAAGGCTCTAACCCTTCACAGGCACTTAATGCCAATGAGAAAAGATAAGGCAAAACCTCCTTAGTTTTCCTTATAGAAGGAAAAATGATGAAAGCAAAAGGTCAAGTTTTGCAGAATCTTTTTTTTTTCCCCTCCAAGGCTCTTTATGGGAGATACAGAGCACCTAATGCTGACAAACAGCATTCTTCAGGCACTGAATATTTGTTGGTGTACTAGAAAAAGACCTTTTTTCTCCTCTCTCATCAACTGAATCACTAGCTTTTTCTCTCCAGCTGTATTTTTCTTGTAACATCCTGTGTGAAAAAAATAGTTTTTTTATTTTTTTAAGGAGATATTTTTACTGCATTGTTTACAATCTCTGCTAGGGTTTTGGGTCTATCTTCTAGCTCTCCCCAGCCGTCCTAGAAACACTAAGTATGGCAGAATGACAGCATTACAAAGGCAAGCCCAGGAGCCAGTTGACATATGATGGTTTCTAGTATAAGAAATGTATCTGGCAGGTAGCAATATAGCTTTTAAGTCAGTCTGAAATAAAATGAGGTATGCAACTCTGTTTTGATTTACACCAGAAGCATGTCTTTACTTCCAAGGAGTTATCAGCCTTCTCCTCTGCTATAACAAATAGGGCTCATCCAGCTGCATCTTTGTACAGGAATTTTTCTATTTCCAAATGCATCAAGCTCTGCTTCTCTTGTTTCTGGCCCTCATGACGTGGCTGAAGCACCTCAGCATATTGGCATAAATGAGAGCTGGGACCAGAGAGCAAGGTAATCCTTAGGCTGTTTGCTTTGCAGAAGTCTTTTTGAGCTTAAGAGTCAGAATGGCTTGGAGTTCTCAGTCCAGTAGCTTGCAGCACTCTTTCCAGTGGAGTGCATATCTGAGCATAAGACTGTTCTTTAACTCCTTCCTTAGAGAATTTTGCTGTCAAAGGAACAGAGGGCAAGAAAATTTCTTAATGTAAATAGTGAGGACCCCATAAAACAAGGTGATCACCCTCCTCACTTTTTTTTCTTTGTAATGGGTTATTTCAGAGTAATGTGTTTCTAACTTGCACTGAAGGATTAGAGATTATAAAATTTATTTAGTATTTCACTATTTAATAAATGTATTTTTTTTCTCTTGGGGAGTAGTTTGCTCTTTTATCACACTAATGGGCATTGATTTTCTGGGGGAAAAAGTCTGGGCATTTTCAATAAAAAATAGTGCATCAGGGAGTTGATTTCCATTCAAGTTCTTTGTTCCCATATTCTCTTACTGACCTCCATACTTAATTCTGAAGTTTTCTGACCTCAGACATGGTCCTGTCAAACCAATGAGAACCATTCTACTGATTTAAATTCCTGGTCAGCTGGGTCTAGCCTATTTTCCCTTTACAAGTGAAGTGCTGTGAAATATAGAATTATGTAATTAATGATATACTGTGTATAGTATGAATTTCTCTTTAAAAGTAAGAATGTGGTGTGCCTTGAAGCCCTCCAATATGTTTACTCACTTGGTGACTTATTTTTCCTATACCTGTGAACTCATAATAATGAAAGAAAAGGATCTGATATATCTTGAAATAAGACAAGATAATTCAGCTTTGTAAGAAAACTTGTTACTTTTGACTTTAGTGTTCTGCGAAAAAAGTAACAAGGAATTCTTGAGAATTTTGTAGTTTTATTAATGAAAATAAGGAATGCATTTTACTGACATGAGTTTCACAATTTTCATGAGTGAATACTTAATGGTAGACACTTCACTGTTCCTAGCTACTGCCACCATATTATTGCATTTAAATGAATTTTGTTCTCTTAGCTTGAGATACATTATTTGACCACAAAAGCATCCAACAGGAAATGTTTATGCCCTAAATAATTTAGCAAGGAGAAGAATTAAGATTGCTTAGCTTACTTTAAATAATTTAGAGATGATAGTAAAGGACATTGTAATCCAACAATAACTTGAAAAGTAAAAATTATTAGAACTTAATCTTTATGTTTAATCCAATTTTTCTTTCTTCTAACATTAATTTGCTAGAAGTGAATCAGGAAATAATTGCTTTAGAAGGAAATGACTGTGAAAGTGCACTAGCAGTTTAAGCTTCTTCCAGCTTATCAGCTCTACTTTGAAAAATTGGTTTCAAATGAATTAAAAGAGTTATGAAAACTTGCAAGTTTCCTAGTCAAGTAAAACTACACTGCAATAAGACATATACTGCCTGTATCTCTTTGAGGTCTCATATTTTTGCTACTGATGGAAAAATCATCTTATTGAAAACAAAAGTTTATTTGGAAGACCCCCTCCATCCCAATAATCAGAAAGGTATTTCAACAAATTTTTTTTTTCACTAGCTTGAAATTTGGAAATTTTTATAAAAGAATAATGCTTCAGGGTAATCCCCTTTGTCAGTTGACAGTTATATTTTGATCTGTAGAAAAAGCCTGTTGTGACAACACAAAACAAACAATAGTTATATGATCAGTCAGAAGAATTGACTACAAGTTGTTATTTTCATTATTGATATAAGTAGGCAAATAATGATCAATAAAAACTTATCTAGCATCACCATATAAATGTGAGCACTCACCAGCTTACCACCTAAAAGTGGCTATTTAACTTTATAAATATTT